AGCCAATCAGCATCGAGCCGGCCTCCTGGCCAATCAGGTCATTACTCGCCGCTGGGTTTCCTGATTGGCCAGGAAGCTGGCTCGATGCTGATTGGCCGGGAAACCGGCTTCCCAGCCATTCACAATCAAGCTGGCCAAACAACATGGAGTCGGCTTCCCTGGCAGTCAGGAAGCCGGATAGCATCTCATTACCCGCTGCCCGGCTTCCTGATTGCCCGGGAAGCCTGCTCCATGCAAACCGAAGCACCGATACTTGGTGAGTACTGAAAGCAAAATATCGGTACTCGTACTCTATACCCAAAAAACGGTATTCGTGCATCCCTAGCTTTAATTAAAACGATTTTTTTTTTGTATCAGGACAAGCAGATTGTTATGTTATGAAGGACAAGTAGATTTGGCCCCCGCTTTAGCCCTTGGACAAGTAGTTTTTTCAAAAATTTCCACACCCCTGACATCAGAGTGCACCTGTGCTGCAGCACACATATTTAAACCATATATGGAGTATGATGCAGGTATGTTTTTTCATACGTTGATGTGTCCTGCTAGCCCATTCAAAATGCTTTTCAAAGGAGAACTATTGGGAGAGTAAAATGTACTCTTCCCAATAGTTCAAGCCACGCTGGCTCTATACCTTCAGATCTGACCAACCACAGACCGCTGATTGCTCAGCTCACAGCTTCTCCCTCCAGAGCGGTGACCCCTCCCTCTCTCTGTTTCTCTATTTCTAATTAGAGGGACAGACAGGAGAAGGGGTGGGCAGAGTTGGCTCTGGCTGCTAAGAGGCAGAGCCAGTTGTCAGTCAGGCGGATCTTGACAATATTGTTGGGATCTTTCCCGCCTGCAGCTTGGCTCTGAGCTGTCAGCATATAGCGGGCAGTAGCTATATGTATGATTTCATTTGGCTCACAGAAATACATTAGTAAGTGTACTCCTGTGACCTAAAAGAAAACTAAAGTTTACTGTGTTGTTTAGTGTGTATTGGTCCAAAGAGGGGATTTCCCTTACTTTGGAGAAGTAGCTCTCACTTCCTTTTTGTTTCACTAGTACAGGAAATGCCAGGAAATTTCCCCCACAGGACACAGACAGCAAAAGAAAACCTCACAGGTGTTTTAATCTATCCTGACTCAAAAACTAGACTACTGAATTTTGAATATGGCTTCACTTTTCTTTCTGTGGCGTTTTAGTAGTGGAGTTCCGGATTTTATCCACACGTAAAGTGTAGTCTGGCATTATTTTCTTTCATCTTTCTGTCTTTTCCCCCCCCCCAGTTAACAGAAGATGAAATTGCTACAATACTTAAATCTACACTGAAAGGGCTTGAATACTTACATTTCATGAGGAAGATCCACAGAGATATAAAGGCAGGAAATATCCTGCTGAACACAGAAGGTCATGCCAAGCTGGCTGATTTCGGAGTGGCTGGACAGCTAACGGTAAGTGTTGAACTTGCATTGCTGATGGACTACCGTGTGATTTAGCATCTCACTATAACTTAATATTGTTTTACATTTTCTCAGGACACAATGGCAAAACGCAATACAGTAATAGGAACCCCATTTTGGATGGCTCCTGAAGTGATACAAGAGATTGGGTATAACTGTGTGGCTGATATCTGGTCACTGGGAATTACGTCTATAGAAATGGCTGAAGGAAAGCCTCCATATGCAGACATACATCCAATGAGGGTAAGGCCAATTTCAATGTTTATTTGTGGGTGTTACTTCAATGGAGTGTACATTTTGTATCTTTCTATTTTGTTCAATGTTCATCTGAATGCATTTACATCAAACCTATCTAAACCAAAATCCAGCCCTTACATCTGGTTGCTGTATTAGTTTTCTCTCTTCAGGCTGAGAAGGAGGAGAGTTCAGCATTTCCCCCACCGCTGATCTCTCCTTCTCTCTCTAAAGGCGGAAGCGATGTATATTATCTTTAGCTGTAATTTTTCTGGCTGAGAGCCATAGAAGAAGCTGGTGAAGCAGATCTCTGCTTCATCAGCTTCTTTGGGGGTCCCCAGGTGACATTAGGGGTCTTAGAGACCCCTGATGTCTCCATAAAGAGGACCTGTCCATGTATATTGGATATCACATAATGGGCTTCTTAATCCCCTATGCTCAAACTTACAAAAATGTATAAAATGTAATTATCATTTTTGCATGGAGTTTATTATAACTTAAAAGCGTGTAATTGAATGTCAGTCCACTCATAAATACACATAAGAAAATAGGCTTTTGTGATGGCGTTCAGTGCCTTTTAATGTGTATCTGTAGCCATCACTTTTGAACAGAGGTTAAAGCCCGCTATTGGCTTTGTGTTGCTATCTGTGTCTTGATGGGAAGAGCCACCCTTTGTATTTGCCCTGGAGACCAATGTCACCGATACTGAATGTGATGAGACATTCAAAGGTTTACAGTTGTCACTAGAGCAGACCATGAGGGGAAATCTTTCAAATTGGGGCCACCGGTCCAAGCTTTTAATTTTGGAGCTGTGGCTACTTTACAACACACACAGGGACCATGGGGAACAAAAGTAGCCCCCCTCCAGAAGGAAGCACAGTGTCAGCACCAATTCAGAGATGATTTGAGGATCTACAGCCGAGTGATACACAAATAAGATACATTTTTGTTCCTAGTTAAGGTACCTGAATGTATTTTTAAGATTTAACACCTGAGTTTAGTGTCACTTTAAGGCCTTGTTCACACCAAGCCCATACACCTTACGATTATCGTACGATAATCGCATGCGATCGACTTTTCGTACGACAATCGTAACATGTGAATGTAGTGCCCGACCGATAGTACTGTACAATCGTACGACTTTTGACGGTCAAGCATGTTTGAAAACTTTGGTCGATCGTACGATGTTCGCACGGTTGGTGGCGTTTCCGTCCGTCAAAAGTCGTACAATTAACACTGCGCATGCGCAAACGAAAATAATTGCGGTCAATTACCGCAAGTCGTCCAGGTGTTGTTTTTTTTAACTACCGCTGATTGAACCTTTCGATAATCGGGGCAGGATGAAAAGTTTCGTCCGATAATCGTAAGGTGTATGGGCACCTTTTAGGCTAGGTTCACACCTGGGTGTACCATAGGCGCGTTTTTCAGCTCATTTTTTCGTTCAGTGAGACGCGCGTTCGACGCTCGTTTTTATACCTCCCTGGCGGTATGATTTTTTTCCTTTTTTTTATTTTCTCTCTTTTTTTTTTTTTTTTAACTTTCAAACTTGCCGGTTCCGCCCCCCTGTGACGCGGCCACTCGCAAGGGGCGAATCCCGGAAGTCGGTAGCGGCCGGAGGATACAGCGGGGATCGCGGACAATGTAAGTCCTACGCTGTATTCTCGAGTGTGGCTCTGGGTTACTGCTTTGTTAACCCCGAGCCACACTCAGGAATACCAATGGATACGCGCGGAAAAACGCCCCAAAGAAGCTCCTGTACTTGTACTTGTTTTGGCGTAAGGCGTTTTTCAGCGCGTTTTCACAGACTGAAATACGCACAGGTGGGAACCATGCCCATAGGGATTCATGGGATGTTACTTGCTGAGCGGTTTTCAGCGCTTCGATCAGCGCTGAAAAATGCCCAGGTGTGAACCCAGCCTAAAAGAGAACTATGGGGTAACCTTTTTATTCCATAGTTCTCTTAAGGGTCACGGGAAGACATTATACTAGCGTCCTCACGTGACCCAAAGCTCCCTATATAGCAAACTTTTGCCCCGCGATATACTGACAGGTATGTGTTCACTCACGTCGAGATCTATAGAGCCGACCTGTGACAGTTTCAGTGTCACACATCGGCTCTAACTATGAGGATGAGTGAAAATCACTCGCCTCCTAGTTCTCCTTTTTAATGTCACTTTAAAATCAATAGTTTTCATATAATTTTTTTCCAAGACTTCTTTTATTTGGTAATTGTAATATTTATAGAGTGCTGGCGTATTACGCTATGCTTTATAGAGTATATTACACTGCTCACATCAGCCACAGTCACCCGAAGGTGCTTCCCATGTTTCTCCCTGATGAAGGTAAAAGCCAGCTGGTAGAGTGATCAGTAAATCAAATCGGAACCATTTTCTTTTTTAATCTCGTTTTTTCCCCCATTGTAATGTTCAGAGTTCAGAAGGCTATGCGTTTGTGCGGAGAATAGTCCAAGCAGGAAATCATTACCCAAGGATAAAAATAAAACATAACTAAACAAAAATAGACATTTTGGGGGAAGGAGCACTCCTCATAATCAGCAGATGCTCGATTGTATGAAACGGAAAATCTGAGGCCTGTATTGATTACAGATTAATTATTTGATTGCCTAAGCTTGATTTTCAGTGTAATATTTTCAAGCTTAATGTAATCATCCACTGCACAGCTGGAACCACTCAAAGCTCTTAAATTCATTTAGTTTCATTGGTTACCAAAAGGTAAGGGGTAATTTTCTAGAATGAGTTTTAGGCGGTAATGACAAAATTCAAGAGATTAGAGTACTTTTAATACTGATAATCGGATAAGCTGCGGATGGAGGACTGCGCTTATGATGTCACAATTACCGTAAGCATGATCTTCTAGGGTGCCACGTCAAAGTCTCAGTAAAATTAGGGGTCTAGAATAGAAATGTCTGATCCTTTATCCGATATTCAGTAAGCTGTGGCCTGTGCATAAGGCTTTTGGGTCTCAACCTTGGACAGTAACTGTACCTGAACACCCTGAAGGGGAAGCAAAGTGCCTGTTTCAGAGTCTTGGTAGATCGCTGATTGCACTGTTTCCTTTTATTTGACACAAACTTAAAGCAAACTGGGGACATTTTTCTTAACTCTTGTAGTGGGGCTGCCACCGCACTGCAAGGGTTAAAGTGACCCTAAACTCAGGAATTCATAATAATGCATTCACGTGCCCTATTAACAAAAATGCAGCTTATTTGTGTGTCATTCGGCTGCAGATCCTCACATCATCTCTGAATTGGTGCTGACACTGTCCTTCCTTCTGGCTACTTTTGTTCCCCATGGTCCCTGTGTGTCTTGTAAAGTAGTCACCGCTCCAAGCTCACTCCCGTGATACACTACAATCTCAATACAAATTGGTAAACTAAAAGTACGATTGTAGTCCATCACAGGAGCGAGTTTGGAGCGGCGACTACTTTACAACACACACAGGGACCATGGGGAACAAAAGTAGCCACCCTCCAGAAGGAAGGACAGTGTCGGCACCAATTCACAGATGATTTAAGGATCTACAGCCGAGTGATACAAAAATAAGATACATTTCTGTTAATAATTTAGGTACTTGAATACATTTCTAAGATTTAACTCCTGAGTTTAGTGTCACTTTAAGGCCTTGTTCCCACCAAGCGCGGAGCAGGGGCAGAGCAGTTACAGACCGGTGCAAAACTGCACCAATGTATTCCAATGGTCTTTTTAGCTCCAGTTCACATTGCCGTGTTCCGTTCCAGAGCAGGTAAAAAAAAACTGCAACAGGCCTTATTTTACCTGCTCTGGAACGCATGCAAACGCCCTGGAACGCACTGAAAGCCCATTTTAACCTAAAAAAAAAAGGATTTTTTTAAACCAAAAATGGCCCGGAACGCATCAAAAACGCGGCACAACCCACTGTACTGCGTGTGCAGAAACTAATGCAGATCTGCTCTGCATTTGGTGTGAGCAAGGCCTGAGCGCTCATTTTTGTCTACATGCAAAAAGAACAAAGTTATAGTCACCTGATCTTCGGAGATGGCTTGCTTTTTAGATCGGTCCCTGAAGCCCCTCTGCTCCTCTGCTGCAGCTATGTTATGTCCTTCTGTATCTTCATAACCTATACATAGTGTATAAAACTATGGTGGAGAAAAAATTCCAGCACAATGGGCGAACAGGGTTCTTTACAGTAAGAGCGGTTAAGGTCTGAAACTCACTGCCACCGGCGGTGATTTCAGCCAAGAGTGTAGATTTGTTCAAGAAACGTTTGGACAATTTCCTGAGGGACCGTAATATCCAGGGATACCAGTATCCCTAAGAATGAGATGATGCGTGGACCTATATGGGTTGGACTTGATGGACGTATGTCTTTATTCAACCCCAAATACTATGTAACTATGTAACTTGATAAGTCACAGGACCTTGGACTGCTGCAGAGGAGGGGGAGCAAGGCGGAAGGGACTGGTCTAAGAGTAAACCAGCCCAGAGGATCGAGTGAGTATAACTTGTATTTTTGAACCTAGACAAAAATGAGTATTTAACCCATGCAGTATGGAGGTAGCCCCACTGCAAGGGCTACGAAAATGATTTCCTGGATTTCTGCACCTAAAATATTGATGGGCAGTGTTTTTCAACCCTCTTCAGTTTCAGAGGTAAAAGTGGCTGTGTGGCAAAGACATGTGTTTTGCCAGAAAAGAATGTAAATTATTATTATACAGGATTTATATAGCACCGACAGTTTGCGCAGCGCTTTACAATATAAGGAAGACATTACAATCACAAGACAAGATGGTAAGGAGTGCCCTCCCCCTGAGGGCTTACAATCTAAAAGGTAGGGATACCTTCCTTTTTTCATGAAATATTGGGAAGTATGCCATAAATATAATGGGTAGTGTGGGAGCAGATAAGACCGCAGAGGGAAGATGGAATAAGAAGATTCCTTGCATGCACGTAGAAGTTTCTACACAGATTAGTTTCCACAAAATGGAGAATTAGGTCTGGTACTCTGCACTC